TATTCAGTGAGTGGCAATTCTGTGAGCGCAAATGCCTTGTTGATGCCAAAGGTCAGAGGAGAATGGCCAGACAGCTTAGAGCTGATAGAAAGGCAACAGCAACTCAAATAACCTCTTACAACAGAGTTATGCAGAAGAGCATCTCTGAATGCACAGCATGTCGAACCTTAAGGCAGATGGGCTACAGCAGCAGAAGACCACACCAGGTGCCACTCCTGCCAGCTAAGAACAGGAAACTGAGGCTACAGTTCGCACACGCTCACCAAAATTGTACAATAGAAGATTGTAAAACGTTGCCTGGTGTGATGAGTCTCGATTTCTGCTGCGACATTCGGATGGTAGGATCAGAATTCGCATCATGAATGTGCAGCCAACAAATCCGCAGCAATTTCTTGAAGGTATCATGTCAATATGGACCAAAGTCTCTGAGGAATATTTCCTAGTAAGGACTTACTAGTAAAGGATTTACTAGTAAGGTATACCTAATAAAGTGGACAGTGAGTGTTTGTTGTACATGCAACAATTCATTCATTCATTTTCCTTCGGCTTAGTCTCTTTATTCATCTGAGATCGGCACAGCACAATGAACCACCAACTTATCCAGCATAAGTTTTACAAAGCAGATGGCCTGGAAATAATGCAGAAGACGTATTGGAACCCTCATAAACCCTACATTCTCCAACAAATCAGTCAAGTTTGGTGAGAGAAAAATTATGGTTTGGGGTTACATTCAGTATGGGGGTATGCAAGAGATCTGCAGAGTGGATGGCAACATCAACAGCCTGAGGTATCAAAACATTTGGGCTACATAACAAACCACAGGAGAGGGCAAATTCTTCAGCAGGACAGCACTCCTTCTCAAACTTCAGTCGGAAAGCAAAGAAGATAAAGGTGCTCCAGGATTGGCCAGCCCAGTCACCAGACATGAACATTATTGAACATGTCTGGGGTAAGACGAAGGAGGAGGCATTGAAGATGAATCCAAAGAATCTTGATGAACTCTGGGAGTCCTGCAAGAATGCTTTCTTTGCCGTTCCAGATGACTTTATTAATAAGTTATTTAAGTCATTGCAGAGATGTATGGATGTAGTCCTCCAAGCTCATGGAAGTCATACATAATATTTTTTTTTTGCAGCATGACTTTATATTAAATACTGTACATTATTTCTGTTAAGTGACAAGACTTTTGTCTAAGCAAAGTCAGACCTTGCTGTCCTAATTAAATCAATAAACATCAAGGCTTGATAATTTTTTTTTTAGGTAAAATAAGCATAATCTAGAGGCCTTTGCCTTTCATAAAAGCCACTTCTAATACCACATGATAAACTAGAAGTCAAGTTATTATTTGCTGTTCCTAAAACTTGTATAGGTGCCAAGAATTTTGTCAGGTAGTGTATTGTGTTTACTCATGTTTTGGCCATGTCCTCATGCTTAAGCATTTAGCCGTTTAAAGATTAGCTTCTTTTGATGCGCGTTGTCTATGAAAACACAGGGAAAGCAAATACAGTTACTGATTCTACAAAAGGTCAGAATAAAAGCTTGATCCTCTTGTTTGTAAAAGCACAGAATTCAGCACTCCCCTCCAAATTCTTTATTAACAACAATCAAAACAAAAGCACAGGAGGTTTTTGTTTTGGAAAGCTCTGCTCATAACCCGCACATAAGCCTTTGGTTATAAATAACCATGGCCATGGTTTTAATAGCTCAAGAATGAGGAGAACCATTAGCAAAGATGGATGATTGGAATTCCAAAGCGTTCTCCGTGACGGATTCCCTGCTCGCAGCTAATGTTGAACCCAATAAACATCTCCTTGTCTCAAGGCAGAGTGACTGTCCCGACCACATCTGAAGGGGCAGAGAATGTCTTTCATTTTGGCCCCCGGTACAGAACACAAGGTTGAGCGAAGCCCCGAAAACATATGGAACTGATCAGGGTCGCATTTTTTACGGCTTGGCCATTCATTCTGTTTACCGATTCAGCTTGGTAAGGCACTGTTTGCTGGGCCCTAAATCACAGGCGAATGGTGGGAAATTTTGTGCTTATGCCGCTTTATTTCGGAAGACTTCATGGCTTGAATGACGGCCAATTTCTGTAGTAGCATTTACAGTAATTTTGACCAACATTCATTTAGAGCGACCATGTTGTTTGCTTCTAAAATCAAACACGCACACACACTGTCTTACAATGTGAGTTTATTGTTTCCCACTGTGCCCAGCTAATTGACAATAATGTGCATCGGTTACAGTTTCTTCTAAGAGATCGTTCACCCACAAATGAAAGTTTACTCACAATTTAATCAACTTTAAGTCCCTCCAAATCTTTAGGAGTTATTTGTATGTTGTGTTTAGGTTACATGTGCACATGTTGTATGCAGTTTGTTTACACAAACTTCCTCTTTATCTTTGTAATGCTACTTTTACAATATGATTTTTATAAAGTGCTATTGAATCAAAGATAATTTGACTTAAATGCTCATTTGCATTAGTACACAGTTCTCTGGAATACTTGATTCTGATTGGTCAATCACGATATGTTATTGAGATAAAAACCAACTAAACCAACATCAAACGGGTACTATGTATCAGAAGATGCATAGTGAATATATATATTCATATATGTAAAATATATATATGAATATATAT